ACCGAGTTGAAATCTGACGCCGTGGTCGCACTTTTTCTCTTGGACAGGTAATTATCTGTTTTGTATGGTTTACAATTCCCCTGAACTATATAGCCTACATAAGTCATGTGCGCGTTCATGTGTGTTGGAGGAGGTGCTCTCAGTGTTGCCAACTTGGCGATTTTCTCGTTAAATTTGGCGGCTTTCCAAACCTACTTATCTGTGTCAAAAGCGACTAACGACTAATCTAACGATTTATAATGGTGTTATTAGGGACTTTTCTGGTGTTTGGAGACTCACGTATTGTTCTGCAGTTAACGAGCCGCGGGTGCTGCCGTGAGCCCCGCCTCCCTCCCATAGTACTCACAGGCGCTCAGACTGACAGTTGTCTGGCCGCAGCAGAGCTGCAGCTGCAGTCAGAGCAGAGAGGAGACAACCACACTCCCCCGCGTCGAGACTGCAAATGAATTGCGCATGCGCCAACTGCCAAGCCGTCCCGGGCTGCTTCTCAGGTCGACTATTTTCATTTCCTCGCTCCTCGGTCCTCGGTCTCACCGGAAGTTGATTTGCCTGCGCCATCTTGAGTACCGTCCAAGCGGCAAACTGTGGGGTAGAGCCGGGAAGCCAATACGGAAGTGCCACACACTGCAGTTCATATATTGGCCGATAGGCGATGGCTGCAGAAAGGAGCAATTTCCATAGACCCCCATGTTAAAATGCCCGATTTTACAGCAGAAAAAAACATGTTTCTACCCCTGGCTCCATACATTTTATTATCGATATAGTTAGATTCCACCTTCATGATTATGGATCTGTGAGTGAATTGTTTTCTAACGCGACCCTTTATATTTATATTAGGTCTTAAAGTTTGTGCATACATTAGGGCGTGGTCACTTTGATTGACAGATACGTGCCTCACTGTCAGCTAACAGCAACTTGTCCAATCTGCTAGGCTACAACCATAGAGGCTACAACGTTAGTTAGTTGTAGTTACTGTACTTGATCCTTTAGCTGTGTTCGTGGTGATCGTGCCTGTTAGGGAATATTGTTACAAATACCAGATAATTAAAATGTCGTGCTGTGCGCTTGAATGTACTAACAGATCTTCCAAGAAGTCTACTTTCAGCTTTTTTCGGTGAGTAAAATGATAATATTATACATGTTAACCCCGTTAGCAGGTGTTTGTGTGCTTGTTAGCTTAGCCTGTTATGTAGCTTATTAGCCAGCTAAGGACGTAACCCTTTATACATATATACAGTTTAGTTTATGATTCAGCCTTGGGTAAGACTTTTATACTATATGGCTATGACGCCCATAATGCTAAACGGGAGCAAATGTTAAAAGGGGTGGGCCGCCGGAGTCCACGCCGCCGAAGCTAACGGGGCTGCAGGGTGCTAGCTCGCTAGCGCGTCCCGGCGGCCGTAGCTAGCACCCTGGGGCTCCGTTAGCTTCGGCCAGCGGCGGAGTCCGACGTTATAACTGGAGATCAAGGAATGCATCGTAACGCGGACTTGGTTCGCCTGCAGCCCGCTGTAGTATTAGCTAAATAAATGATGTTGAGCAAGGCTTATTAAGCTGAACACCGCCACAATTATTCTGCTATGTATCGGTACTTATTTTATTAACGTGTGAATGACAAGCATTAAGAATAATACCAAATAGCTAATTATCTTGCAGATTGTCTCGTTTGATTATGAATGTAACGTTTATATAGTGGAACTACACTGTTTTATCAAAACCAAAGTGCCACGCAGTGACTTGGTATGCATGTATTTCAGCAGGAAATGTGCAACCTAGATGACATTTACCAACACAGACTATATAGAAATATTTGTAAAAGTTGTTCATGCGTTACTAAGTGAATATGGCATTAACCCTCCTGTTGTCTTCGGGTCAAATCTGACCGATTTACTACTTTCATCAATCATGTTTTACATTCGATTGATACTGAGAGCATGTTAGCTTAGCTTCTTAGCCTGAGCTAGGACTCGAACGTCACGCTCGTTGGCAGCAGGTCCCGCCCTGTCCCGCCTCGGCTCCGCCTCTTTGCCCTTATTTGGAGAAGGCGGGAGTTAGACTCTGACGACACCGTCGAGCCGTTAGTGGCCGACTCCGCCTACTAAGGGCTTCACGGCAACTCTGCAGAATCCTATGGGTGACGTCACGGACCCTACGTCCATTTATATATACAGTCTATGGTACCGTCCCATGGCTCTTATTTCTGCCGGAGGACCGAGGATCGAGGAGCGAGGAGCGATCATGGAGGAGTGATAACCGAGGAACCACCAGACCATCCTCCGATGAAATCCTCAGATACTCACCCCGCCCCCTTACTGTGTATCGCTCACTGATTGAACGAGGCAGTGCATGCACTGATCTGATGCTTCTTGACATGAGAGCAGAGTGAAGAAAATACATGAACCTCACGGGAGTCACTCCTCAGTTTATACCGTGTTTTGTTTCAATTCATGTATCATTTAGTTACAAATATGTGATATATCTGAACAACAAAGTGGTCAAAAATCATTTAATTCATTTTTTGGAAACATTTTCATGATCGCTTTTTTCGTTTCCATTCAGTCAGTCATTAAGTGCTATTAAAATGTTAATATGCTACATATCCACACAAACACACAACGTGTGCAATCCAATGAATGTTAATCCAACTGGGTTTTGATAGATAACATATCTCTTTTTCTTCTCTCAATTATTTTATTTCTATTGTGCACTCTAATCAATATTAATCAAACTATTGTTCGTTTATAAATTTTAAGAATGGCGTTTATCTTTTTTGAGAATTAGTTCTTATTTTATTTTATTTATTGGGATCTACAACAGATGATACAAATGTTTGTGTCAGTAAATGTGTACTAACAGAGGCGGGGGGGGGGGGGTGTGTGGAAATAACGGGGACATGAGCTGCTGTCAGACGATCAGCTGTGCAGCGTCATCACAAACGGACGTCGCTTCACGTGACGCTCTGGAGGAAAGGACGTCCCATTGCTCTTAAAACTCATTTCCCTTAAAACTCATTTCCCTGCTTCTCGTGGTTTCCTTGCGTCCCTCCATGCTTCCCTGGTGGGAGGGACTAAACGCAGGGAAACGACGCAAGTGAGGGAAGCAAGGATTTCATTTAATCGACCTGAGAAGCAGCCCTGGGCTGCTTCTCAGGTCGACTATTTTCATTTCCTCGCTCCTCGGTCCTCGGTCTCACCGGAAGTTGATTTGCCTGCGCCATCTTGAGTACCGTCCCATGGCTCTTATTTCTGCCAGAGGACCGAGGATCTAGGAGCGATAATGGAGGAGCGATAACCGAGGAACCACCAGACCATCCTCCGATGAAATCCTCAGATACTCACCCCGCCCCCTTACTGTGTATCGCTCACTGATTGGACGAGGCAGTGCATGCACTGATCTGATGCTCCTTGACATGAGAGCAGAGTGAAGAAAATACATGAACCTCACGGGAGTCACTCCTCAGTTTATACCGTGTTTTGTTTCAATTCATGTATCATTTAGTTACAAATATGTGATATATCTGAACAACAAAGTGGTCAAAAATCATTTAATTCATTTTTTGGAAACATTTTCATGATCGCTTTTTTCGTTTTACATTTTCATTTATTGTCATTTCCATTCAGTCAATCATTAAGTGCTATTGAAATGTTAATTTACTACATATCCAAACAAACAAACAAACAAAGTGTGCAATCCAATGAATGTTAATCTAACTGGGTTTTGATAGATAACATATCTCTTTTTCTTCTCTCAATTATTTTATTTCTATTGTGCACTCTAATCAATATTAATCAAACTATTGTTCGTTTATAAATGTTAATAATGGCGTTTATCTTTTTTGAGAATTAGTTCTTATTTTATTTTATTTATTGGGGTCTACAACAGATGATACAAATGTTTGTGTCAGTAAATGTGTACTAACAGAGGCGGGGGGGGGGGGGGGGGGGGGGGGGGGGGGGGGGTGTGGAAATAACGGGGACAGAGCTGCTGTCAGACGATCAGCTGTGCAGCGTCATCACAAACGGACGTCGCTTCACGTGACGCTCCGGAGGAAAGGACGTCCCATTGCTCTTAAAACTCATTTCCCTGCTTCTCGTGGTTTCCTTGCGTCCCTCCATGCTTCCCTGGTGGGAGGGACTAAACGCAGGGAAACGACGCAAGTGAGGGAAGCAAGGATTTCATTTAATCGACCTGAGAAGCAGCCCTGGTTTTGAGCGGGATTTAAATGTTGAATGTAAATGTTTCTTCACTCTCTTTCACACTATAATAAATAACTGCCTTTGCTTTGCTTTGACTCACACAGCCTCAGTCACTCAATCACCTCGTCCACTGTGTGTGTGCCTCTCTGTGACAAGCTAAACATCATGGCACAGTCTAAATTGTATTCTCAAAAATACAGAAAGGAGTGGGAATCAAACCCTGAGTATAAAGGATGGTTGAAGCCATTTATTGGAGATGACACACGGGCATACTGCCTTTATTGTAAGGGGGATTTCTATGCCAAACTGTCATGTTAAAACCCCAAAACATACTCAAAAGGCAAAGACATTTCTGATCTACTGTCGTCTGGATTTAACTCCGGTGGTTTCAAGTTTTGATCCTTGAAGGGTTGGGAACGTTTTTTGTACTCCCCTATGCAAATTAGGCGATGACGTCATTTAGCGACTTCTGGCGACTTCCAGGACAGCTAATAGCTACTTTCCTTACTATGGAGTTGGCAACAGTGGGTGCTTTGTAAGGAAGTCTGAAGGAAGGGGCGGATTCTTTTCGGCTGTGTACTTTCAAATTGTAGTGCTCTCGAGCCGGTTTCTGAAACGTACCTACCCCACCTTTAAGTGTAACCAAGTAACACCTGTGCTGGGATATAGGAAAATAACATTTGCCCACACTTCCTTTAAATAAACCAATAAAGTGAATGTTATAGTTATTCCCTTAATTTAAACCTCAGTGAGTAACGGTTAAAAGACGTTAACTACCGCTGAGTAACCGTTTAAAGACATTACCGTTTGCAGCGGGTCGGGGGGCACGGAGCCGTTGCTGCACCCCGACCTCTTGGAGCCGTTGTAGCCGAGGTCCTCGCTGATGCGGTCCCACAGGTACTGAGTGGACAGAGGCGCCTGCAGGGCCAGAGAAAACATGGAGAGGAACAGCACCGGCTCCACAGACACCGGGCATGTAACCCTAAACGGTGGTCGTACGAAGCCGGTGCTCGCTACTTCGGCCTCATGTTTGTGGTCCCCATAGTCGTGTGTCTCCTCGTCCGTGGCGGTAAGCACGTCCCCGGGAAGAATCGCTGCGGTGTCCGGCTCGTCCATGTCCAGGCAGCGTAACATTAACCGTGGTAACTTTACTCACTGTATATTGAGAGTGTCTGAACACAAGCGAAACATTGAGTAGCCCTTTTCTTTAAGCTAGCTCCGTAAATAACTAGCTTTTCCTGCTAATGCTAGTTTGTTTATGCTGCCGGTTTCTGAAAACGAGTAGGAAGGAAATGTAGCTACCTGCTCAGCAAAATAAAGGATTCCGTGCTGAGGCCATAGACTGGGTTGAGGCTCATTGAAGGCTTCAGCTCAGCACCCCCATCTGGACAAAGAGGGGGACTATACTGCTTTGCTATCAGTGTTATAAAGTAACTAATAGTAGATTATTTACTCAAGTACTGTACTTAAGTACCATTTTGAAGGACTTCTACTTTACTTGAGTGTTTCTAATACTATGTACTACAATCCAGAGGTATATTGTGTACTTTTATACCTTTAATTACTTTTTAGATTCGGATTAATTTAATTATAAACACTTAAATAAGACTTTAGTTACACCTGGAGTAAATCCACAAGTTACCCTTCATCATACAAAGGAATTTGCTGCACCTTCATCAGCTTTGCATCAATAATTATGATCAAAGCATATAATATTATTCTGAAATGGGCAAATCTGCAAAACATGTTCTTATACTTTACATACTTTAAATATATTTGTATGCCATTCCTTTTGTACCTTTACTTAAATAACATTTTGAATGCAGCACTTGCAGAGTATTCCACTTTAAGCCTCAAGATAAACATTTAAAGCTGTACCTCACTTTAAAGTAATCACTATGATGTTTAATGGCCATAAACAAATTAAAAACACTTTCTTAACATAACGCCACTGTAATTTTTTAACGAAGGCTAGGGTGGTGTTCTTTTTTTCACAGTCTGTGACATGTCATTGATTAGGAACATGGATAAAGCACTTTTATTTGGTTGTGCATGAAACCAGCAAAATGGCATGTATTTGCCCCTCTGGGAAATAGCTCAATCTGGTGGAAAATAGAAAATGTAGAAGCCAGCCTAGGTTTAAGCCTGTTATGCCATTAGTCCAGGGTATGTATAACTAATATATAACTAATAAAATGCTCTTTCAAAGCTTACTTATAGTCTAAGTAGTAGTGTGATTGAAATGTCTAGATGTGTGAAATCCTCTGTTTTAACAATTTGCAGTTAAACAGCTAGTATCTTGCAAAAAGTTTGAACAAAATTATAGATTTAATGATTAATGTATCTTATTATTTTTCTGTCTTTGCAAATAATAATTGTTTACAGGCAGTGGTAATGTAAAAAACTCATACTGTACCAACCCTAACACACCCTTCTCCTCTGTTCAAAGAAGCATCACTTTGTGGTTCTTGGCCTGAGTTTAGTTTAGTTTGGCTGGATACATAATCTGTATGATGTATGTGTACAGCTTACTCTCCTGGCAAAGTTGACCTTTTATGTATTATCTTAAAATGTACACATGTACGTCACACACATTTTTTAACTCCAAATATTTTCTTGTGCAGTAACTTTCACCAATCTTTAATATAACTTCTTAGGGTTTCAACGGTTTCAACAAGTAATTAAACATCAATCATCACACCATTTTGCAAACCTAATTAGCCTTTAAAACACACACACACACACACACACACACACACACACACACACACACACACACACACACACACACACACGCGGTAGGAGGATCTGGTTTACATTTTACTTAGGAATTACAACACTGTTTTGGAAGTTATCTGACACAACCTGTTTACAAGGCCATAGACCCTGTTTTGTCAGTGTGACTTTGTTTTTCCAGATTGCCCTTTACTGCTTCCTTTTACAAGACTTAGAGAACAGACGTATCACTTTATTAGTTACACAAAGGCACATTCAGTAGTAGTTATGATTTCCTCTTTTTGTTTATTTATGGGCTAAACAGCGTAACAACGTAATATGGATATTTTGCCACTGGAGGTCTTTGTTCCTAACTATTACAAAAGACTGCTTTTTTTCGTGCCATTAGTTATTATGGGATTGTAAGGGTTTGTCATTGCTATCAGCAAAACAACGTTTTACATGAAGCGAATGAATCTAAAATAAACTGTACTACATGATTAAATCAACTTAAAACACTGAATTAAATTAAATAGGTAAAAATCTATGTTTTTTCTGATGCAGCTTACGTTTGTTCAGCTTGTTTATGTGATACCTCAAGATCCACATTTGTTATGACAAAAATCCTTCATCAAGTTAAAATTGAATTAAACCAAATGAATGACAGCTTCTGGCAGACAACTACAGGGCTGACACATGCGCCAAAGAGTATAATATAATCATCACCTTTATTAACCCTGCGGGGAAATTCAGTTAATCTCTCTGGTGTTATTTTGTAATTACCGAAAATACACACACACACACACACACACACACACACACACACACACACACACACACACACACACACACACACACACACACACACACACACACACACACACACACACACACACACACACACACACACACACACACACACAATTTTATGTTTTATGGAGAGGTGGCAGAGTAACGCATTGACAGTGGCCAGGTGGGGAACTGTCACCTTTCGAGCTACCAGTCAACATTCTGTAATTTTGGTCCGCTCTGGACTTTCAGTTCCCAATCCAGGTCCCTAAATACTTAGCTACTGCCGTCCATTAAAGGAAAGGACTTTTGCCTTCACTAAAATCATGGATTTCTCTTTGTTGCAGTTGTTGGAATCTAAACTAAATTCAATTAGTGTGAAATAGTGTCAAGCCTACTACAGTCAAGATCAAGTTTTTTTCATTATACACATTTATTGTTTTTATAATAATGATTGCAATTTACAAACTCTACATAAGTTAAGATGATCACAAAAATAACATGCCAAAAACATATACCACAAAACACTAATCACTTATTAAAAGCAGTGGTGAAAAGGTTAATTTTTCTCCTGGTCATTACCTTAACTACCCCCTTTTTCCCACATGGAAACACTCCCTCTACATGCAGACCACTAACTGTAAAGTTAATTTTTTTTTTTCAGTGTGACGTACTATATATTCTGATATATATATACTGTGCCTGTACGTTCTAGTACAGTGTTTTTTTTCCTTCTCTTTCTACGTTGGATGTCCATCGCACCTTGTCGCTCATGGCTGGGATTCTCACATGCCTGTGGAAGTATAGGAATTACATTGTGATAGTCCTTACACCTCTTTTACTTCTTCCTCTGCCCCTGATCAGCGCAACCTCGGTAAGAAAATGAACATGTATATATTTATTTTTATATTGTAGGACATATCTACAGACATATTTAAGAATGAGAACCTGATCATTAGGGGTGGCTTGTTTACTTGCATTACTCCAAAGTTCTAATATACCCATTTGTTTGTAGAGCACACACTTCTTCTAAAACCCCTTTAACCACCCTCACTTAGGAATTATTCAGTTGGAAACATTACATCAATTGCAACTATACTGATATTGTAATTGCTGTGATTCAATATATTGGAGGAATGCAATCAACATTTAAAAAAAAAAGTCTATAATAGCCTACATCTTGTTGGACCTGACATCTCTGCAGCAACAACAACAAAATACTTAATACAGAATGTTATTTTGACTTTAACGAATATTGCGGCTCCTGCAATTGCATACTGTATTAGATTAGACAGAGCCTTCTCCGTCGCTGCCCCCTCCCTCTGGAACTCACTCCCACAACCCATCAGAGACTGCACTGACCTCACCACCTTCAAAAAACTTACAAAAACTCACCTCTTCAATCTGGCTTTTAATGTGTGATTGTTTTTGTATTATTTGACTTTAACTTTAACTATATATTTATTTGTTGTTCCTCTATTTTATTTTATCTTCACTACAGTATATATGTAAAGCGTCTTTGAGCACCTGTAAAAGCGCTAACAAATGAAATCTATTATTATTATAGATTCACCTTAGACCTATTGCATATAAAAAGAAATCCTGATTTGACGGTCTGTCCTTTATTCAACAAAACACAGGTCAAACATCAAAGAACAGATCTGATGACAGGACTTATCATGTATATTATCAGGTGTCCTGATAGTAAAAACACTTTTGAACTACCACTATCTTGGCTTTGGCACTCAAGCCCACGAACAGCTAAAGCCTTTCTTCCTGTAACAGGTCCGAGTGTTGAAGCGGTTTCATCGTTATGCTAAACCTTCAACTCTTGCAGATTACATCAAACTTCTATTTGCCAGTGTTACGACCCCCTCCACTCCACTAGGGGTCTCTGCCTCTGGACATTTGTTTCTTTACATGTCTTACTTCAATAAGAGGACCCTCTGCACTATGTGATCATTTACTATGAAGAATGAAAAAGTGGGGAAATAATCAAGATTTATGTTCCCTTTTAGCTCATCACATCATGTAGATTTTAAAGTAGATGAGTTGGTTTTCTTTTCTTCCTTGTGTTCAGCTGTTGTAAAAAGCAACACAATAAAACACGGAACTGTCATTAAGAGTTTTCCTTATTGTTTGACCTTTGTCATCTTAATCAAGCAGCAGTTGTTTTAATATTTGGCTAAGTTCCAGACATAGTCAAGGTAAAAGCAGGAAGTTATTATATGACTAAGAAATTGATCATGTAATTTCTATTTGAGTGGCTGCAAATGTTTTAACTGCAACATTTCAACAGCAAGCAAACAAAACAAAAGTGTTTTCTAGAGGATTAACTCAAGATAGTTACAAAAGTTATTGGGTAATGGTTAACTATGATAACTGAACTATATTATGTAAGCCAAGGTTGAGCAGTTTATGGTGGGTTTGTACTTGCTAACAGGCATATTAAGGTTATCGCACTTGTATACATGTGTCAAGTGCATCACACCATTTAATATGTAACATATAGTATACGCATACTGTGTATTAACACTTTTAAGCAACACAGTCATTGTCTGTCATTACAGGAGGCAAAATGTGGTTATGTAATTATCCTCATGGCGCTGTACTGGTGCACGGAGTGTATCCCTCTGGCTGTGACCGCCCTGCTGCCCGTCATCCTCTTCCCCATGATGGGCATCATGGAATCAAACGAGGTATCTCCATCTCTACAGCAATCACACATTCTAATAAACCATTTCTTGTTGGAATGGGTTGACATGGATTTGTGTTTTTTCCTCTGTTATCCAGGTTTGTATCCAGTATCTGAAAGACTCCAACATGCTCTTTATTGGTGGGCTGCTGGTGGCCATTGCTGTTGAGCATTGGAACCTGCACCGGAGAATCGCCCTTCAAGTGCTGCTTATTGTGGGGGTGAAGCCATCTCTGTAAGCAACCGTATAGTTTTTCATACCTGCACATTTCAATTGCACTGCAGCTTCAATACAAACTATGTGGAGAATTAAATGATGATCTGAAACTCACATCAGTCTGCAATTGATTCGCTTAGTATTGTTTTCTTTTGATTTCTTTACCTTTTTTTTCCTTGACTTAATTGCAAATGATGGAAATCCTACAATTTACAAGCTTGTTTAAAGTTTAAGAATGAAAGAGGTATCTCTGTTAGTGTTGTTGTTTTGAGCAACGTCACACTTCCCTGACCTCAAGTCCATCCCACACCTTCGGGATTAACTGATTAACTGTGAGCTGTATTTTATTGTCCAAAATCTGTGGACAGGTACCTACTATCTCACTTTTTTTTAATTTATTTGTATTTACTTGCACTATTTTTTCTGTGTATCTGTTTCATTGTGTTGCACTGTTGGTGGAGCCTGTGACCTAAGATTTTCATCGACATAACTACACTGTAGTTATGTACTTATGACTAATAAAATCCCTAATAAAATCCTTGAACCTTATCTTGTGGAAAGTTTTCACAGAGTAGTGGAGGGTGTTGAAAACGTTGTGTTTGAGAGGGTTCATAGTCTTTTGGCATTATCAATACATTTATTTGCTTTTTCTCTAAGGTTTTTTTTTTTCAAACTTCAACTTTCCATCTAATCATTTGTTTTACATCCTCTCCAGTCTGATGATCGGTTTCATGGGCACCACAGCCTTCCTATCCATGTGGATCAGTAACACGGCCTCCACAGCCATGATGCTGCCCATCGCCAACGCTGTGCTGCAGCAGCTGTGTGACACAGAGGCCAACGCTGAAGAGAGGGAGTTTAACATGGCTGCTGCAAAGAATGGTCTGGATAACCAGGCGTTTGAGATGGGTGATGCCAAAATGAGCAAAGAACTCCAATCAAAGGAAAACACCATCAATTTGGGTGTGTGGCAGTGTCCATATATTTTGTTATTTTCTGTACTATACTATTTATTAACTCTTTGGTTGTTATTGTTTTTGATGTTTTTGTTCTTATGGTGTTTTGCAGATGCAGATAAAGATGACAGCAATGGCATAATATCAAGTATGTTTTTTACCTTTTGTCTTTTAAGTAATAGTCTAGCTTAAAATAGTAAAAGGAAAAATCTAACAAAACGAAGAGCAGAAATAAAAGTGCCAAAGTACAGGTCAAATGTATTCTTACTTTGATTGGTATGAGGTAAAAATACAAATCACCCAAGATCTCAGCAAAACGAGTCTTGGTAAAGATATGTGTCCAACTAAACATTCAAAGAACAATTTAAATACAATAGCAACTTTCTCCTCACTGTATTAAACAATTACAGAAACTGGTAAAGCAAGGAAGCCCAGAACAGAAAATTACATTCAATATGCAACAGATAAGATGTATTTTTTTAATGATGAAGGTCTAGAGGCCCAGCAGCGCAGACTGAAGACTGAGCAGAAGTATACGAAGCTGACGAAAGGCATGAGTCTGAGTGTTTGTTACGCTGCCAGCATCGGTGGGACGGCCACCCTCACCGGAACAACACCCAACGTCATTATGAAAGGCCAGATTGATGAGTACGTCCTGCACATGCACAAATAACCACACAACTCGCACATACTGTATAGGGCTGCACAATATTGGAAGAAACTGACATAGCGATATTTTGATTGCACAATATATATACTTAACAAAGCACTTGAACAAAAAACTGGAATTTACACAAGATGATGATCAAGTACCTTTTTGTCATCCTTTCTGTAGCTGAAATATTTACTATCTACTTGCAACCAACTTTTAAGATTTGTTAAAAAATACAATGTCCTATGCAAAAAGTATACTGACCAGTTGGGAAAAAAACATTATTATTTCAAAAACAACTTGCTGGCACTTGTAGGCTTGTTGCAAGTACATCCAGGTGTTAAGGTTGTGCTGTTTTCTGATTTTAATGTTTTATTTCGATAATCAACAGACTCTTTCCAGATAATGGAGGCGTAATCAACTTTGCAAGCTGGTTCGGCTTCTCCTTCCCCAACATGGTGCTAATGCTCGTCTTGTCTTGGTTGTGGCTGCAGTTTATTTTTCTAGGCTTCAAGTAAGTTTCATGTAATGTACCTAATCTCTGTCTGATATTTCCTGATTGCAACCATATAAACAGTACTTTTCACGTTGTGTTATTGCAGCCTTAAAAGCACATTTGGATGTGGCACCAAGAAAGAAGGAGACAGGGAGGCGTTCCAGGTAATCAAAGATGAGTACAAAAAGTTGGGCAGGATGAGCTTCGCTGAGGGTTGTGTGCTGACCATCTTCACGTTGCTGGTTGTTCTGTGGTTTACCAGGGAACCTGGGTTCATACCCGGCTGGGCCACTGTGCTCTTCAACAAAGACAAAACGTGAGTAAGAAAAACTGTTTGTCACATGGCTTTTTATAAGAAAGTGAAGAGGTGAGGAGTTAACCAGGGATTGGCCAGTGTTGGAGAAGGAAATAAGGAAGGGAACATGATTAAATATAAGTCACTGCCTGGACATCAATGGGTCTTATTGTTACTGTCTCATTAACTTTAAATGACAGTGCCTTTTTTATCTTTAATCTTGACGCTAGCCACAAAATAGTAGCTTAAGTATTTTTGTGTCGGTACTACATAACACAGATATTTAAATACGTGTTTCTCATCAGGTACGTCACAGACGGCACCGTGGCCATTTTAATGTCAGCACTATTCTTCTGCATCCCATCTAAACTGCCAAGATGCTGCGGGAGGTCAGAGGATGGTAAGTCAGCCGGCATGTTTTCCACATGTCTTAATAGTCTTATTTTAGAAAGGTGAAAAAACATGTTGACCACAGACCTTTTTGAGGATTACATGTTGAGCAATGACATGAAAGGATTTTCTTCTCTTAAAACAAAAATGTTAAGTAGTAAACTTCTATTTTCATGTTTATGCTTTCTTTTTGTTGAGCAATGTTAATACAATTGGGATTTTTTTTAAGAGGATAAGATGTTAAGACAAGAAGGCAGGTACCTGATATTTTTGGTTCTTTCTGTGCAGGTCCATACAGCTCAATGGGAAGAGTTAATTCACTATTGCATAACATTCAATAATATGCAGTTTTATCAGCATGTCTGTCTTTTCTCTCTGTGTACTACAACAAAGACACCGTCAATGTCTTTTATTGCCTGTGACAACTTATCTCGCTGATTCAGCGTTTTATAATAAACGTTATCCCATCTGCTTCCTGAGTTGTAGCCTGATAGCCCCAAGGTCAAGCCTGTGCAACAGTACATGCTGTGCTGTTACTTAGAAAAATGACTTTTCTATCAATTAATCAATTTTTTCTCCCTTTGTAACTTAAGTTAAGCGTGTTCTGCTCCTGCCTATAGGCAACAAGTGCTTTTTTTTTACCTGTCATAAAGAGGAAAAACAGTGTTTTGTACACAGAAGAGTGTAAGAGTGTGTTAATCATTGTGTCAGACTTTGAGGTGCCAAAGTCCCCTTTGGAAAAGAGAAAAAACTGCTTAAAAGAAGGAATCCAATTACAACACCACATTTGTATTATATTTGAATGGCTTACCTTTTTATAACATTTGATTTGTATCTTTACAGAACTCAGTTATGGTCACTTCATCTTATCAGTGGGCGATAAAACCTTGGCTTTTCTATAGTTGGATTAGATTTGTACTTATTTATGACTGCCCTAACCAATAACTGAAATGATACTGTCAGCTTTAAAGATGTACTTCCTTGTCTCCTTGTCTCCTTGTCCTTACAGGGGCCTCTTCTGAAGCCCCTGCAGCTCTGCTTAATTGGGACGTTGTCCATGAAAAGATGCCTTGGAACATTCTTTTGCTTCTGGGAGGAGGTTTTGCATTGGCACATGGAAGTGAGGTAATGTATTTGATCATCAAGTTCACAACTTTCTGAAAGATAATGCATTTTACAATTGTTCGGACGCTCATATGTGTATTCCCAAATTGCACGAAGAAATCTGGACTTTCTTTGTGGCTTGGAGAAAGTCTCATACCGCTGCAGAGCATCCCTCCTTTTGCCATCTCCATCCTGCTGTGCTTGCTGGTGGCCATGTTTACTGAATGTTCCAGCAACACTGCCACCACCACTCTGTTCCTGCCAATACTGGCCTCAATGGTAAGACAGAACTTAACACTCCATATTTAATCGTATTGGTTGACATTATGGGACATTCACAAACATTTCAGTTCAGCATCCCCAAGCTTAAAAGCTAAACGTTTTTCACTTGCCTATTTGGAATGTGTGAATGTCTTTTTTAAATTTTTGAATCCAGGCCACCGCCATCAAGATACACCCACTGTACGTCATGTTTCCCTGCACCATCTCTGCCTCGCTGGCTTTCATGCTGCCCGTAGCCACTCCACCCAACGCCATCGCCTTCTCCTACGGCAACCTCAAAGTCCTAGACATGGTAAGATATTTTGGGAAAGATAGAGACCCCTTAAGTGAGCATATTGACATGCACACAGTGTTTTGGATAAAGGCTCATATTTAGTTTTTGGGTCAGCAGCTTATATAAATCCTTATATTTGATCATTATTATCTATTTGCATACAGACAATAACCTACACATTACCATGGATACTAAGCTCAGGGAGACAAATTGGTATTAATACCTACTCTGATATTTTTTTGTCAAAACACTGTTTTGCCTTGAACCAGATCCAAAATATAAGTTTATTTTCATTGTTTTATTTTTTGGTTTTTCCAGGCCAAAGCTGGATTCATTCTGAACATTCTTGGAGTCATAACCATCAACATTGCCATTAACACGTGGGGGGTGGCCATGTTCAATCTGAATGAATTTCCCAGTTGGGCCAATGTCACCAAAACTCCTTGAAAGTGAACTCAGGAAAATGGAAACGGGGGAAAAACTGGTGGATATGAACAATGTCTGAGTATTAGGATTTCACCACTGGAAGATTTGGCAGGCAAGTGTATGGTATACATGGTACTTTTATTGAAAGCTCCAGTATACCCGGGCCAACGCAGTTTGATGTTGAGGGGTTCTTCAGACTTATATCCTCCCTCATATTGTGAGGCTCTTCAGAAACCAACATGTTTACAAGAAACATTAAAGTACCTTCTTTTGAGTTAATGGCATCTAGATTGATACTCTCATGGACTGTCATTCAAGCAGAGTTTGACCTGGCAGACCTGATATTTAAAAAGTGTTAATGCAAGCAAATGCCAGTCTTGTTTGCTGCGAGAAATGTCATATTCTGAGTTGTCTTTGTATCTGTAATTAGCAGCGTTACACTAACCTAAAATAAAACTATTAAACAAAAATGTAAACAACATAACGAAAACTTCAATAATTTTGTTAACTATTTGCATACTTAAATATCACTGTGTACTACTTTTGACTATTTTTCCTTATGGCTGTTGTGCCATGTCTGTCTGAGTTTTGAGAGAACTGTAACTATCTATAATTTCTCAGTTGGTTTCTTAGAGAAAACTATAATCATTGTATTCCATTAAGTCAAATCAAATCAAATCAAGTTTTATTTATATAGCACATTTATATACGATTTTTGGTCGAGCCAAAGTGCTGTACATATAATAAAAATAGCCTACAGTAGAGACACTTTACAGCAAATACAACAGCACAGATTGTTCAGAATATCAGTATGAGAAAAACGACACCCTCTATCCTTAGACCCTCACATCGTACAAGGAAAAACTTCCAGAGAAAACCCACAGTTTAAGGGGAAAAAATGGGAGAAACCTCAGGGAGAGCAACAGAGGAGGGATCCCTCTCCCAAGTCAGTCGAACTTATCAATGTTGTCTTAAACAACAGAATATTCAGATTCCAAGAAAACCAGTCGGAGCACTAGATGCTGCCGTTTTTGAGACTGATACATTTATTGATGGGATAAATCTCATTACCATCCATAGGATTAGGGACACTGGGTACTTTATTGATGTAAAGAGAGCCAGAGGACAGAAAGATTAATCCCTTCAAACGGTCAATGCTGGAGAAATACAAAAGGATTGAAGTTAAGAGAAATCAATTATAGGAAACTGATTAAAAACATTTCATTGAAATTGTTGGCAGGGGTCCACATATCTGCTGTATGTGGAGAGCAAAAAGGATTTCAAAATGCTATAACTACAGTATACAGAGGTCAAAGGAGTAAGCAATCATGAAATACAAAACATTTTAGTTTAATCTAGCAACCATTATGTTGGTCCAGACTGAAAGACGACATCATTCAAAGGGAAACTATCAGTCTATTTGAACTGGTTCTCGCACTAATGGAAGGTGCTTGTGATCGGAGGTAAGACAACATCATTATGTCATGATATCTTTGTATTGTCTTATTCACTATTTTGGTCTCTGTCCAAGTTTGTGATTTGTAAGTTTAAATAGACGAAGGCTGTATAATGCTGCAGTACATTCTCTCTGCTGGTAGTTCAGGTGTTTCATTAATAATTGGTATTTGGTTACTGAGAATGTGCAAGAGGTGTTTTTAGTGAGACGATGCATCTGCAGTTATCATACTTTGGAAATCTTTACCACCTGACTGTACTGGGCATCTCTGAACATGTTTTTTAATAAAGAACCTGAATCTGTAATGAAATGGTAATTGTGAATATATAATACTGAGAACATCCATTTGGGGAGACAGCTGCACATTTTATTATGAAGTATTCCTTGGCCAGGCAAGGTAATTCCTGAATTCATATACCCTTACCCTGAAGCCAAAATGTGAAGTATTCAGTGATAAATCTCGCTGCCTTAGGAACTCTGCATGGTTTCCTCTGTTTTTAGTAGACACTAATAAATCACTATTTTTGATTACATAACATTTTTTTTCCCCAGTTCTTTAACATCTTCTGATTAACAAATATTTTGTTGGACATTTTTATTTTATTGGTTATAAAACTAATAAAAGCAATTGAAATGGATCATGCAGTGAAACACATGTTGCTACACGCTTAGAAGTGGTGTGAGCCCCCCCCCCCTTTCTGCTACTGTTTGCTGTCAAAAAACGCTGTAAATTGACAATATAGTATAAAACGTACACCTGCAATTTAGTGTATTACTCATGTAAATGGAAGTTAATTACATTTTGAGTTACTGAATGATTTTACATTTTCAGGACCTAAGATCTGAAAAGCTCAAAATATAACACTCGGAGAAAATGTTTTTAGTCTTTGGGTTAATTGGCCAACTCTCATTGACATGCATTGTGCAACCTGTGCCAAGCGGGTCGCAAACTTCATTTTACAGGGTCACAGATCCTATCTGATATAAGAATAATAATACACTTTACTTTATTGTCACACAAAGGGAAACTCAGTTTTTTATTCTGTTGTTTTTATACAGTTGCAGTTAAAATAAACACATCCAAAAAGGATCTGTACACAGTAGGTTCCAAAATACACACGTGCAACCATGCATACAATAACTGGCAGGGTGTCAGAGCAGAGGAGCTGCCCTTTATTAGGTCCATGCATATGATCAAAGGTTTTTTTATGATAATTGTTCACTCTTTTTGTTGTTGTTGTTGTCTATCACAGCCTGGGATGCCCTGCAGCAGCTAGGTTAGGTGACCTATAATGTCCCCCTTCCCACTTGTCAATTATATTCACTTTATTGTTGACACAGGAAGTTAGTTTAATATATTAACAGTAAAATAAAAACAGTAAAAAACAGCCTGTTTTCACCATCGTTATTACAACAACATCACAATATTTGTGTGAGTACCAGCCTGACCAATTTCTCCAATGGTAGTTACCTGTCACCAGGTTGTCATTAAGTTACAGTGATTCATTACAACTCTGATTAATACTGTAATTATAAAAACAGGGGATGATGATGATGATGATGATGATGATGATGATGATGATGATGATGATGATGATGATGATGATGACAGTTCATAAAACTGTAAAAACAGGAAATAACATGTTCTAGCTCTGAAGAACATGACATTGCATTTGAGAATCCATGAGTACTGGAGCAGTTATTTCCTAGAAGACAATAAGACTCTAATGCCACATTACACCCTCCTGAAGAACTCAATCGTTGTCAGTAAGAGCCCTGGGCACTAGCTCAGCTTGGCATAGGCCTGGCCATGTAACACAAGAGTTTATTCTAATTGTAATCAATCCTTACCTCTGTCATTCTGCCTCGCCCTCTTGTCGAGGACAGAATTTGTTCAAGGTATTGCACCGAGCAACGGCTTCCAATGTTTTCCTGGTTCATGGGGAGGATAGGATAGGAATCTACCTGTAATGACATACCTCCACTCGTTCTACTTCTCTCACTTTCTACTGTACTCCTCTGCCTCCCTTGCTTTTTAAGGTTGTTGTGTTTTCAGAGAGAAACTTAAGATTTATCAAGAAAAAAGGAAATGCTTGACATGGACTGAAATAAATATGACTCATTGTGCTAATGACAAGGGCCTGATTGATGGGCATTTCCAGAAGTTATGAGTTAATTCTTATTGGCTGCATCAAAAACTGACATTTCCAGATTGACTGCTTCTGTTAAAACTAGTAGCCAGTTATTTTGTTTCAGTTTGCTCAAGCTATAACTTTGTGTGTGTTCTTCAATATCTTAAATGGATAAACGCCTGTATTAACTTGTGCACACGTTTGTTTTATAGTGCACCAGTTAAGTGGAAACCTGATCACATTTAAGCCAGCATCTGCAATGGGTGAGCTCAGAAACCAGGGCACTGTGCCTGCTCTCGCCGCCACTGGCTCTGATCTGCACTGTATCTAATGTCTCGTCAAGACAAGCAACCATTCAGTCAGGCAAAGAAAGAGTGATGGAAGGAGGAAGAGAGCACTGCCAGCTGCCAATGGCTGCAACTCGTAGATGTTATGTAACCTGTTGCAGCAGGTTTTTCTTTCTGTATATCTTCCTGACAGGCTTTAGCCTGGATGAGTGCCAAACACATACACACACACACACACCCCCTGTCAAAATCTGAAACCAGCCCATCCACCAGTCCAAAACATATTTAGACAGTCAATCTAATCAAAGTGCTCCACTCACAGTGAGGGGGAGTGAGGTGCACAGATCCACAACGTATAATGGGCCCAGATGTCGCCAGAGGTTACCAGTGAGAAAATCTGACTGAAACTGCAGATCCACAAAGAAGAGAGGGGGCCGGTTATTGTTTGTAAATGTTAGGTGAGTTCCTTTGACAGTTTTCCAATAAGTGAATGTTGTTGTTTAAATGAAAAGCTGCTTCTACAATTGTGCTGTGATTTATACTCATTTTACTGTGAGAGATATTACAGTACTGCACTGAAAGGGTTGGCACTGCTGTAGGTCCCGATTGCTGTTTGACTGGCGCCGTGAACTTTGAGTGGCCGCCTTCTCATTTGATCATGAAAGAGCAAAGACTGCCAGTGTGAATCCTAATAATTAGACAGACATAAGTACTTTATCTTGTCTTCAGATTACCATAGAAAGAGTAATACTTCTATAACATTTGTGTAAAGCTTATGTAATGTGTAAATCATATATCTTTAGAGACCCGAAAATGACAAATTAAATACCGAACAAAATTAGTAAAACTAAAAAAATACACCGGGGTTGTTTGAAATGACAAATATCTACACATGTACACATGTATCTACATATACTTTACATATATATATATATATATATATATAGATTACAGATTACAATTTCATACCCTTTCTACTATGATTTGAATTGACATTTTCTGAAAGAAATTAAGAATTATTTTTTCTTTGATATATTGAAAAGCCACGCACATTTCTTTGTTAAACTAACTTTTCGAAAACCCTCTTGGATCATGAAAAAAATGCCACAAAGTAGACAACAGGGCTGTTTTTCTGAGCTCATGAGAAGTTCACTTTTTTGGCATCTGCGTTCTCGTTGGACAGCAAAGCCACAAACACATGGTGTTCTTATAAAATATGATACATTGTTGTAACTTAAACTACCCATTCGTATATAAAGAAGTTAAAATAATGGATACACAGCAGTAAAATGCTACGTAAAGTCAAAAATTCTTTCAGCAGAATGTAACAGATAATAAGGAATATCTGTACAGCACAGTGATAACCTGGCATTATGTTTTGTTTGATGTAAGTGTTTTTGTTGATCTTGGCCTAGCTAGCTTTGGAAATTATGTAAGATAGCCACTGGCATTGGCTCTCTCACATGAGAAACAAACTGCATAATATCAGTCTCATCTAACGGCATGACGGGAGAGAATGATGGCGGCATTTTAATACAGTTGGTTAGAGGATTCTTTGTGGATTCTGGAAATAATGTTGTCAAATGAGTTGCATTTTTTTGCAAAAAGTGATAGCTGGAATCACGTTGTATCGAGAAACAAAGCTTTTTCGCTGGGTCTCAAATGTACTATTGGAGCAACACAAACTGGGGCTACATGTGCACATGTGGGTCATCTCAGGCTAAGACTGCCTAAGCCAGTGGTTCTCAAACTTTTTATGTCAGGCCCCCCCTTTGGAGAAAAAAAAAAGTCGGGCCCCCCCAACACAAATAGTCAGGCTCAGTGGCGGCGCCAGAGATTTATTTTGGGGCTGCTGTGCGGTAGCTTGACGTTTCATAGAGGGTGCTCAAACATTTAAGGTTTCCCATTAATGTACCGGGCGCTACAGTGGAATTTTCTACTGCAACAATCCCCACGCATATACACAATGTACCCGCGACTGTCACAATGAAGACTCGATAATCAGCTCATAAGCAGGGGTAAAGCAGGGGTAAAGTGCTATTTTTGTAGGTGGTGTGTGGACCTCACATAGGTGGGTCCGGGGGCATGCTCCCCCGGGAAGATTTATTTTTAAATATTGAAGTTAAAAGCATCAATCTGGTGCACTTTGAGAGCAACATGAAGAGATCTATGGATACATCTCTCAACACCCATATGAAACAGAACTGTAAACAGATTTACTTTTTCTTTATGGATATTTTACAAATCACCCTTTTAAACTCTATTCTTGTTTTACTGTCATATACTATTTCATACCTGTTTTTCATTTATTCTCATTAATGGTGACCAAAACATTTGAGACCCACTGAGATAACACTGAGAGAGTCCTTTAGCTCACTGAGTCTCTCAGTCTGACAGGAGAGGACTCTCCTCCACTTTGTTGTTGAAAAAACTCCTTATATCTGTTAGCGTAGCTCGATAGCACCAGAAGCTAACAACAACGATCTCCGGTACCAGTGCACTCTCTCTCGCGCACACAAAATGGCTCATTCCACACACACGGAGCCGAGCTTTAATGATACACAGAGACCCATACGTAATAGTACTGTACTGCATCATATTCTTTTTGAATCAATAATTTTTCAAATTATGATTTTTTTTTTTTTTTTTTTAAATCTTTTTTTATATATAACCATTTTTCCTCCTGGTCTCTCGCCCACCCCCCCCCCCCCCCCCCCCCTGGCATGCCTCTGTGCCCCCCACTTTGAGAACCACTGGCCTAAGCACACACACCCCTGCAGAGGCTTCTACATTTATTTCTTTAAGTATGACTGTCAAGCAGATGAGAGGACTTGTTGCCACATAGGTTAAAAGGCAATCTCTCAGCTTTCACTTCAACACCTTAGTCTCCTTTCATGTGAACAGAAAGAGCTATGTTTGCTTCTTCTGTCTGTCTCGCTCGCTCTCTCTCACACACACACACACACACGATGTATCCCACTCTCTCAGCATCAGCATTATTTGGCTTTATGTGACCTAACAGCCATGGTTTGTTGGCAGTTTTAATGAGCTTGGTTTATGTCGGGGTTGAAGTTACCTTTACTGGAACTTGGGCCACGTGTCTGTCACCTCCGCTGAGATCAGATAACACTTCTTTACACTCAGCCCAATAAAACCTATGCCCCGTGACAAGTGCTAATGATGTTTTAATAAACTGACACTGAAAGTGAACTGTTCTCACACCCATTGTCAAAACACATATTACTGTGTGTCTTGCAGATTTACAGCGGGAAAATGACTCAATAGATAAGAAGATATGATCTCAAAGGATCGGTTACAAGAAGTACTTGTTAAAACACTTAAGATCTGGAGATACGCTTCCTGTTATGGGCCAACTGCAATATAAATCAAACAAACAAAAAGCTTTACAGTTTGCCTTTTCCACAAAGGAATAGGTTGACGTTTTGGGAAAAGGCTTGCTCTCCTTCTTAATAATTAAAGGATCAATACCGTCTAATATGGTAAATATGGTTACAGGTGCTGGTTAGCTTTTACAAAGACTGAAAATATATTTGGCTCTGATCAAAGCAATCCCATAACACAGTAAGTTTTCTGTATGTTTTCTCATGTGTCTAAACTTTATGCTAAGCTAACCAGCTGCTGATTAAAGCTTCATATTTAGCCATACAGTACAGACATTAGAGTACAGTATATCTTCTTTTCTGACTTTTGGCAAGAAAGCAAATATTTGCATTTCCCAAAACAATTTCCACATTAGCATAACATGAGTGTACCTTTAATTTAAATTAATGCAGCAGGCAATTGTAATTACTGAAACCTTTCATCCATCAGACATTATGCAGAATCCTGTTAAGCCAGAAAATGTAATTGACTAATAACAGTCAACCCATCTCAAATTGATCCATTTCCATCTCTTCACAGGAGCTGATTTTGGTGCAAAGTTACACACCCCCTGACATTTTCCCACAGCAGTGGCAAGTTTCTAGCATCACTGCTTAAGGCTAGCCCGCACACCTGTGAGCCCTGTGGGACCGGCTGCCAGCAGATGGCAGAATCACAGGTACTGAACCACCTCATGACTTTCTGTTTTAATTTTTTTTTAAAAACGTTTGTCTAAAAATAAATCTGAATCTTATTTGGACATTATGGCATTTCCATAGACATTTGTTTTAAACTGCCCTTTATGAGCATTTATTTAAGGATAATTTTACCTGCTGAAACGTAATATATTTGACACCACATTTTCTAAGGACATTTTGAAAATTGCGTTTACGTACTTGCACAGAGTTAGATGAGAATATTGAAACAAATGTTTACGTTTGACACGAAATTACAGCCAGCAGACGGTTAGCTTAGCTTGGCATAAAGCCTACAACAAGGGAAAAGGCAAGCCTAACTCTGTCCAAAGGTAGAAAACAAATGCCTATTAGCACCTTTAGGGTACACAATTATCTTGGTATGTGTTGTTTGTTTTTACATTACATTACATTACATTGCATTTAGCTGACGCTTTTGTCCAAAGCGATTTACAATAAGTACATTCGACCAGGAAGACACAACCTTGAAGAAAACAGAATCATAAAAGTACATCAGGTTTCAAAGAGCCAAACATTTCAAGTGCTACTCAACTGGCTTTAGGTAAGCCAGTCCTTTATTAGTATAAAAGTGCTTCGTTAATAGTTCTAACGCTCGAAGTGGAGTCGAAAGAGATGAGTTTTCAGTTTGCGCCGGAAGATGTGCAAGCTATTTGCCGTCCTGATGTCAATGGGGAGCTCATTCCACCATCTTGGAGCCAGGATAGCAAACCCACGTGTTTTTGCCGATGGGAAATTGGGTCCCCCTCGCAGCGAGGGTGCAGCGAGTCGTTTGGCTGATGCAGAGCGTAGTGCACGCGCTGGGGTGTACGGTTTAACCATGTCCTGGATGTAGGAAGGGCCAGATCCATTCGCAGCATGGTAAGCAAGTACCAGTGTCTTGAAGTGGATTCTAGCAGTTACCGGAAGCCAGTGAAGGGAGCGGAGGAGCGGAGTGGTGTGGGAACATTTAGGAAGGTTGAAGACCAAACGAGCCGCTGCATTCTGGATGAGCTGCAGAGGTTGGCACATGCAGGTAGACCAGCCAGGAGGGAGTTGCAGTAGTCTAGGCGTGAGATGACGAGAGCCTGGACCAGAACCTGAGTCGCTTTCTGAGTCAGCTGGGGACGTATCTTCCTGATGTTGTAAAGCGTGTATCTGCAGCAACGGGTTGTAGCAGCGATTGTTTGCAGTGAAGGACAGGTTGTTATCTAGGGTCACACCCAGATTCCTTGCAGTCTGAGTCGGGGAAACAACTGAGGTGCCGATGTTGATTGTTAGGTCAAGAGTGGGACAATCTTTTCCCGGGAGGTAGAGCAGCTCAGTCTTGTCAAGGTTGAGCTTGAGGTGGTGAGCAGACATCCACTGAGAGATGTCAGCTAGACAAGCAGAGATGCGTGCAACGACCTGGGTCTCTGAGCGGGGAAAGGACAGAATTAATTGGGTGTCATCAGCGTAGCAGTGGTAAGAAAAACCATGCGGGCTAATGACTGATCCGAGTGAGTTTGTGTACAGGGAGAAGAGGAGGGGACCAAGAACAGAGTTTAATCTGGACTACGTGTATATGCTAATTGACTACGTGACACACTATTTCTTGGCCAGGTACAATTACTCAACACAGTCTCACGTCATTTCGTGTTATAGTCACGAAATTAATCTATTGATTCGTGTTCACCAACACGATTTCCGTGTCACACAGAACGATTTTAAAAGCAATGTAAATAATAACAAATTACAAGGAAAAAAATATTTTAAAAAATACAGATTTGAGTATTCTGACACAGAACGATTTTAGAAGCAATGTATTTATATTGGTAGTATGTTTCGTGCCTGCACCAAATAATAACACATTAGAAGGACATTTAAAAAAAAATAAAATACAGATTTCAGTATTCTGAGGCTCTGAGTCTGAGCCATTTATTTTCCTCGTGGACGGCAAAAAAGCTCCGACATTATACAATTTAAAATAAAAGGGTTAGGCATAGGGTAAGATATTGAGTTAGAAAATGTTTTATGAACCCCACAGCTTCCGGTCTTCCAGACCCGACCGGACAAAAAGACGTGCTGCAGGCACAAAACACACTACCAATAGAAATACATTGCTTTTAAAATCGTTCTGTGTGACACGAAAAAAATGCAAAAATCGTGTTGGTGAACACGAATCAATAGATACATTAATTTCGTGACTATAACACGGAATGCCATGAGACTGGGTTGAATTACCAGTTGTTGGTATATGACAGGTTAGCTCTTTCCCCCATTTGTTTTCAGTATACATTTGAGCTAACGAGGTTTAGCTGTAATACAAAAACAACAGACATCCCAATTGTCTTACAATTTCTGGAAGAGTTTCACAAGCTCTACGTATCACAATAAAATACCTGTGTTCTGCTGCCCAGAAAAATGTTACATAACTTTATACTGTAGGTAAAACCTGTTTGAACATGGCTCTTCTCTTTGTTTACTGGCAGAGAATGGGTTTTCTATTAATGACATCTTGGCAGCTTCTAATTCAATGAAAAGGTGTAGAGACATGTTTGATGTTGAACGCACCAAACCCAGCCCTGACTTTTTCCATTAGCAAGCGGTGATCTCCATCTGTAACAATATTCAATGACTTGGATCACACCACAGACTACCGAGGGCAGGAACGTCTGCTTCACCCTGCGAGAGAGAAACACCTTCAGCTTGAGGCCTGCAGCAGTGAACAGGAGGCACAGCACTGATGGGACCCTTGGAGGCCATGTTGACTCTGACCGTTTCCATCCGTACCATCGACAGTTCAGTGATGGAGTGGTGCCGGCTGCAGGTGGCCTCCAGCAGGGCTCGTCCTCTTTCAGCTGCCTGCAGGAGGTGTGCAGCCCTGACACTTATTCACACAGCTCAGGCAGCGAGGCTCCAACATCCTGGGACCAACACGACGACAGCATGCAGGTTTCTAGATTTATGCTACCCCTTAATTTGGCTGAAGTTGATATCAGGATTTGCTCTTTCTTTTTTTAAACTTGCTTTTCATTTTTCTAAAACAAGACATACAGTGTCAAAGACACTGTATGTCTGTATGACTGTGTGCAGGTTGTCGATTTTTTTTTACCCCCCCCCCCTACAGAATAAGACAAGTTTAATAGTACAACAACATTTAAAATGATAAACAAACATATGGTTGATATCACAGCACAAAAAACTAAAACAAAACAACAACAAAAAAACATAAAAAGGTTGAGATAAATGTTAGTCATGGTTGACTATAGTAAATCTGTGTTCTAATTCAGTTTAATTAATAAAAAATGATGAATCAGTTATGGAAGAGTACACAATTTCAAACTTTACAGAATGTCTCTTTCTAACTACTGGATGTGTATCTCTTTGCTGAGAATTACACTATATCAATTTTAAAGCTATGTCAATGTGAAATTAGAAAAAAAATCAGTGAACTGCAGATTTAAAGGTGTCAATGAGGTCATAATGTTAATTGTAGACAGAACATTTATTTCAAATTGCTTAACACACATTATGCATTCTAGATTTTCTTTGTTGAAACTATTTCCTTCCTTTTTTTATTTCAGAGTTCGTACCCAGAACTATCAACCCTTCCTGTAGAGCCCTCCTGCTTCCTGTCTCAGAGCTACCCATCCTACAGTTCAATGATCCCTCTGCAACAGGTGAGTGTGTCAGGTCAAGGATTGCATCAAGTATCACTGTAGAAGATGGTGTCATTGTGATGATTGATCAAATGTGAGTAAGACATGTACCTTTATGATTTAAAGGTGTCACAAACAATGAGCAAAGATAGTGCCGCCTTATTTGTTGCAAAAGCAGCGGACAGTGCACATGACTCAGCCAACGCAAATGTAAGAAACTGGCATGCATGATGGCTTTAAACCATAGCTTTAAACGCAACATATTCCCTTTCATTGGTTTTGAGGTCATGATTTGTGTGCTTGTGTGTATGTTTCCTCTTCAGGTCTCACCCAGACTGAACCACAACAACGATCAGCTCCACAGCTCAAAATATTCTCTCCAAAGTCTCCCAACTCAATCACAGCAGGAGAGCAACACACAGCCCCTCTTCCCCAAGCCCATTTATTCATACAGGTAACACGCATAACATTTAAGTATAGTTTTTGGCCGACATTTGAATTCATGTCCAAAGCAACAATGTATGAATGTAAAACATGTTCTTTGTGACCGCAGCATCTTGATCTTCCTGGCTCTGAGGAACAGTAAAACAGGAAGCCTGCCGGTCAGTGAGATCTACAGCTTCATGACGGAACACTTCCCTTATTTCAAGGTGCCACCATTTTTCTATTTTACACAGTTTTCTCTATCAATTGTTGAATACAAAAAACCTAAAAAAATGTATCCGTTGTAAAAGCAGAACAGAAAAAAAGGGTTGTAAAGTACGACACTAAAAACTCAAATGTTTTGCTCCATAAGTTTCAATCATTGAGCTTAATCATGGGGTCCGTGACCGCTTGGGGTCATCAGAGACGCTGCAGGGGAGGCGGCTACATTATTATTATTATTATTATTTGTTTTTTAAATGAAAATACTTCTGAAATACACATTACACCCGGGCTGCAGTCGAATAGTCCAAAAATCAGCTCCTAAGTTCTAACCCTATCGTCTATTCCTTGACCTCTGAATGAAACGTCACGGGGTTAAGGGATAGTGGACAGGAGAATTCAAAAGGATTTAGGAGAAGAGACTGCGGTACTTTAGAGAATCCGAATGCACTTTCACTATCCAACGTGTTTATGATGCGCCAGCGGACGTCATGAATGTGCGTCTGCTGCTGTGGGGAAACTATGGAAACTACAGTGTTCTATACAGCGGACTACAACATGGATGTTTAATAAGAACGAGGGACTACTGTAAACTCATCTAGAGACTCTGCACCGTGCTCTGATGCTGTTGCTTTATGCTTTATGAACGTGGACAACAGAGAAACATATTCTTCATGACCAAAGTTGGAATTGAAATAAAAAAGGAAAGTGAAACTTATGCTCGTCACCCTCTCCCTCCGGTCCACATTTATACAAATGGTCCCAATACGTATGATTGTATGAAAATATCTTAAAATCAATACAGATGTATTTATTATAAACGTTAGTCCTTAACATCTATCACTGTGTATATCACCATTCAAACATTTTAAAAGTTGAACAAACCCCACACAGCTCAGTGAAGACTGTGAAATGTTGACTTTATTTGATCATTTCAGTAAAAACTAACGTTCATATTTCTCTTTTTGATTATAATACTGATGAACGTTCAGAACAAAGCACTTTGGCAACTTACCACATACGTTTTAAAATGCTTAATAAGCACCGTAACTTTCATGATATAATTTCTCCGTCATAATCGGTTGTTTCCGTGAACGGTCGACTGTTGTGTGACGGCAAATGCTGCGGCTGCAAGCCATTGTGGGGCAGCATTTTCCCCTCTCCTTTCGGTGAGGGAGGTCCAGTGGTTCCTAAGCTAAAGGAGGTTATAAAGGAAGTTTGAAACCTTTCCTATCATCTAGAGCAGTGATTCTCAAATGGGGGTACGCGGACCCCTGGGGGTACGTTGGGGTACTGCAGGGGGTACGTGAGATTTATTAAAAAAAAAAAAAAAAAAAAAGTTAATTAAAAAAATAATCTTAGTAAAATAAGTTAAATAGAAAACACAATTTTATATAAAACAAGAACCACCATGTCCTCATATAAACATGTCAAATGTGTGTATTGTATTTGATAGTTTTTCACAATAACAACATATTACTTAAATTGAAAAACTCCTTTGGAAAAATCTGTTTTATAAAAGTGTTGTTATTTTTTTTCATGCATAAAATGAAAATATCCTTAGTTTATTGTAATGCATACCACGAAGGAGTTAATACATCACACACTGAGGGAACATCACTATATTGTAGTTATTTATATAGGCTTTTTTGATCAAAAATGTTCGGGATCGGTCAGGGGGTACTTGGCTGAGAAAATGTTTCAAAGGGGGTACATTACTGAAAAAAGTTTGAGAAGCACTGATCTAGAGAATTCGAACAGCACTTATCATGGCTGCCACCGAGGGACTTCCGGGTCATTTCACTCGGTTAGGAAGGTTCCTAAGCTAAATGGACTATTCGACTGCAGCCCAGTGCTTCTCAAACTTTTTCTGTCAGGCCCTCCCTTTGGAGAAAAAAAAAAGACGGGCACCCCCAACACAAATAGTCACGTAATGGGCCAAGTTAACATTTCTTAAAATACATCAATATGAACGTGAGCATTCCTTTGCTAGAACAGTGATAATAAAACAATGCTCCATAAGTCTGTGTGGTCGAAAAAATAAATACATAATACAATTGTGCAATCCCTTTGCTAGAACAATAAGTTGTAATACTTTGCCACTTTGCCATCTGTGCAAAAAAAATGAAAACAAAGAAAATGCTGATATTTGGCAGAAAAGTGTGTCTTATCACAGCATTAGTGGCTGCAATGAGCCTGTTTTGCATTGCACATTTCTTCAAAACGGGGTTGCAGGCTTAGTGGCGGTGCCAGATATTTCTGTTGGGGGTGCTGAAGGGTACCTTGACGTTTCATAGAGGTTGCTCAAACATTTAGGTTTTCCCATTAATGGGAAGATTTTTTTAAAATATTGAAGTTAAAAGCATCACGTTGAGAGCAAAATGAAGAGATCTATGGATACATCTTTCAACACCCATTTGAAACAGAACTGTAAACAGATTTACTTTTTCTTTATGGATATTTTACAAATCCCTCCCCTTTTCATTTCATTTCATTTCAAACCTTTATTTAGACAGATAAATCCCATTGAGATCATTGATCTCTTTTTCAAGGGAGACCTGCTCAAGTAGTTCCACATGAAACATAAAAACATAAATAGAATAACAAAAGGACATCATACAGCATCATTTACATAATTATCCACATAAACAGGTACCTATAGCTTCCGATTGAGTAGCATCCAACCGAGCTTTAAAAACATTTAGTGGCACCAGATTGAGGAGCATCTAAAAGCTGTCTTCCCTTAGACAGTCCTAGCAGTTGGCACATTTAATAAAACCACAGCATTCGATCTCAGGCAGTAGCCACTTACAATTTTCCGTGAGATCAGTGAGCAGATATAAGATGGAAGTTTCCCTAACATGGCTTTGTATATAAATATGTACCAGTGACTGAGCTTCCGTACAGTTAGTGAAAGCAAACCAGCCCTTGCATACAGGGTACAGTGATGGGTTAATGCTTTACAGTTTGTCACAATTCTCAGTGCACTGTGATACGCAGCATCTAACTTGACCAGGCAATTGGCAGGTGCATTCATATACATCAAATCACCATAGTCCAGCACAGGTAAAAAGGTCACAGTGACTAGCCTTTTCCTGGCCTCAAGCGAGAAACAGGACTTGTTCCTGTAGAAGAAACCTAGCCTAACCCTCAGCTTTTTAAGCAGGTTATTGACATGGAGTTTAAAAGTGAGACAATCATCAAGCCAGATACCAAGGTATTTGTAACAGGTAACCACTTCAAGTTTTTATTCAATGTACTTATTGTAAGTCGCTTTGGATAACAGCGTCAGCTAAATGCAATGTAATGTAATGTAAAGTTTTATTCCTTGCGTAGTTACAATATCTAAAAACAGGCTCTGGTGTCTTTTTAGCTTTAGAAAAGAGCATTACCTTGGTTTTCTCAACATTTAAAAGAAGCTTTAGTTCAGCGAGCTGAGTCTGAATAATGTTAAAAACATCCTGTAATTTAACACCAGCCTCCTTAATGGAAGGACCTGCACAGTACAACACGGTATCATCCGCATAAAAATGTAAAGTAGCTTCATCCACATTTTCACCTAAACTGTTGATATATATGGAGAATAAAAGTGGACCTAAAACAGAACCTTGGGGAACACCATTAGCCATGTTTAACCACTCAGAAGACAGCCCATCAAAGTGAACACATTGGGACCTTTCAGAGAGGTAGTTCACAAACCACCCTACTGCATGGCTGGACATGCCTATACTGGCTAGCCTCTGCTTTAAAATGCGATGATCGACGGTGTCAAACGCTTTTGAAAGGTCAATAAATAGAGCTGCACAACTCTGCTTATTATCTAAAATACTCTGCCACATCATTCATCACTTTCATTGTGGCAATGATGGTGCTGTGTTGTTTTCTGAAGCCTGACTGATGTTTAGACAGGATGTCATTTGTACATAAAAACACCTTTACCTGTTCACTCACTAAGCGTTCAAGAACCTTAGCCAGAACTGACAACTTAGAGATTGGCCTATAGTTATTTAATAAGGTGGCCTCCCCTCCTTTTAGCAAAGGCAGGACATACGCTGACTTCCACAATTTTGGAATAGTGTTAGTGCTGAGGGAGAGGTTAAAAAGAGTAGTGAGAGGTGGAGCAATAACATCTGCAGCTATCTTTAAAAAGAAAGGTTCTACCTTGTCCGGGCCAGCCGGTTTCTTAGGATCTAACTTGGTTAAAGCTTCACGAACAACATCAACAGTAAAAGGGGTAAAACTAAAAGGGTTTTCCAACACAGGTTTTTCAGAGTCACATACTGTAGTGTTCACAGAAGCAGAGTTAGTGACAGAATCAAAAAGAGAACCACAGGACACAAAATGCTCATTAAAGCAATTTAGCATAGTAGCCCTGTCCGATATAGTGCCAGATGCTGTGGTAATGCACGGAGGTAGCTCATTACGGATATCACCGGTGGATAACGATTTAATGGCTTTCCAAAATTTTCCAGGATTATTCAGATTCTTTGTGGTTACTGACAGATAGTACTTTGATTTAGCACTTTTGATTTGCGATGTGAAGCTATTCCTTAGCTGCCTAAAACGCAGCCATTCTACCTCTGAGCAGGGGCGGCGCCAGGGGGGAGCTAGGGGGTGCTGAAGCACACCCCAGGATTGCCAAAGCACCCCCTAAGCACCCCCAATAAATATGTGTTTTTTTTCGAAAATTATTATTATTATTTTTATTAAATTAAATCAGAAAAATTATTGATTACATCAATGCAAATGTGAAACAAACAAATGTTTGACCAAAAACATAAAGCCAACACAGGTGATATGATTAGGCCAGTGGTTCCCAAACGGTGTGCAAGTCTGGCTGTGCCGTGGGATTTTGTGACAACCATACGTTATTATTGCAATATACAACTACACAAAAATAATTATTTTTTATTTTACTATATCAGTACTTTGTAGGTTTATATGTACGTAATCTGCGTGACTTGTGCGTCCACATCTCCACGTGCAGTGCTGCATAAACATGGCT